AAAAACCTGGAAAATATTTTTTGGATTCTGTTAAATGAAACCAACAGAGGCTGGAATAAGACTCAAAAGTATTCTGAAAGAAGGCACTTAACATGTGTCCTGCAAGGTTAAAGATTATTTGAAGCGTTCCAGATAAAAATGGACATTTTCTTGGAGTGAGTCACCAATGGCCTAGGGCTCTAATGCTGTGCAGTTTCAAGCAAGCTATTAAACCTCATACGTCCTATTCTCACTCTGAAAAATGAGAAAGGGGGTGGGGGGAAAATATGGAGACTCTATGCATACTGGGATGGATGGACAACAGCATTGTATAGCCCCATCTCATCAGATCTTGAAAGCTAAGCAGGATCGGTCATTGGAAGGGAGACCTCCAACAAAGACTGTGCTGAGGAAGGCAACGACAAACCACCTCTGCTTCTCAGTTGCCTTGAAAGATCTCTGCCGGGGTCGCCATAAGCCTCCTGTGATTTGATGGCATTTTTTACACACACACACACACACACACACACCCCCCCCCACACACACACACAGAGGGGTGGATCCAACCACCCTCCAAGAAGCCTTCCTCCGGCCTAAGGTGCCATTCTCTAACATAAGAGCCACTTCAGTTAAAGGAAGGCATCAAGCTTTGCTCAGTGGAGTGGGTAAAATAGGGGCATGGTCCATTCCATTAAAGTTAGGGAACGGGACAGAGGTGACCCCGCTTGCTATGTCCATCCCGGATGCATTCCTTTTCTCTGAGGGATATTCTCACAACCTTACTGACTATGATCATGCTTGGGTGAGTGGAGGGGGAAGTGCAGAACAAATTCCTATACATGAAGCATGTGTGAAATAGCAGAGAAAGAATGCACGTAGAATCATAGAGTTGGAAGGGACCCTCCAGGGTCATCTAGTCCAACCCCTTGCACAATGCAGGAAATTCACAAATACCTCCTCCTCCACAACCCCCGGTGACTGCTGTTCCATGCCCAGAAGATGACAGAAAACCTCCAGGTTAAACTATTTTAAATGTGCTCTAACATACCTTTTGCCTGTGTAACTACAACCTACTGGTACAGCTTCTGTGTTAATCCCTCCTCTCCCCCCACTACCGCCCTCCAAAATTTGATGTTTACTTTTAGGAAAGCAGATCTCAGTCAAACCCCACAGGCAGTTGATACATTACCTAAACAAGTTTAGGGAAGCAGGGAGAGAATTCTAGTAAACAAGCCAAATAGCTCCTGTCATTTTTAGTCAACGTCAGTGAAACTAAAAGCTGATTTTAGTGCAAATGCAATCACTAGTACGTAGCGCTGTGTTCTCCAGTCTTTTCAGAGTACGCATTTGTATATTACTGCAGAGGAAAAAAACAGGTATCCCTCCATTAAATACTGCATTAGCATAGAAAAGGGAGCACTGGAAGATTAGAGACAAAAGAACCAATCCCACTAGTATTAAATACATTCAATATCAGAGGGATACATCCTGTATATATGAATGCAGGTCTGGAGATTTTATGGTGTAGTGGTAGCTAAACAATATCATCCCCAGGCACAGGAAATCTTTAATGCTTCAGAGCTTTTAGACTGGGACAGGAACACTTCTCTCTTACAAAAGTAACCTGAAATTTCATGTTTGGCGACCTACTAAAAAAGCTAGACTTTAAATACAAATAGTCTACTGTGCTTAAATTTAACTTGCTGATTCACTAAACCTGCTGAATAATTAAACTATTTTAATAAAGGTTAGAAATGCAAACTGATGGCCACAAAATAAAGTTGCCCTTGTGATTATTTTAATGCAAGCTCCTTTAAAGTTCAGGGTAGTTGTGGTGTAAGATGGAAAGGCTTAAACAGCAGGGATGAGAGCAGAATTGCAAACATCTATGTATCTAAGAAAACTTTTTTTTTCTGTGCAGATACTTATTTCCACCAACAGAGGGCTCACTCTTCGCCAACAGCTTTTCCTCCATACTCAAGGCAGGGCCTTCCTGGGTCTACAGAAAAATCCAAAAAGTAAAAGATGACAAACCCTTCAGGGACTGTTAAATTCCCCCCAATACCTTTTGAAATGGTGGAGTCTTAAGGAGGGCTGTGTTTGGGGAAGGGAGAGGCCTCAGCTGGTTATAATGCCACAGAGTCCTCCAAAGCAGCCATTTTCTCCAGGGAGACAGATCTCTGCTGTCTAGAGTTCAGTTGTAATCCGGGGTGGGGTGGGGGTGTGTGTCTCCAGGTCCCACTTGGAGGTTGGCGTGGTAGCAGTTTAGGGTTGCCCGGTCCCTCCCCCCCCCCCCCCCCCCCCCCGTACACCAGCAGACTCCACCCTCCAAAGCATCCAGTTTCTCCATGGGAAGTGATCTCTGTAGTTTGGAGATGAGCAATAATTCCAGGGGATCCCCAGGTCCCACCTAGAGGCTGGCATCCCCTAGGCAGCACCCTCTGGGTGAATTGATACCATCTGATTTGCATGACTCAACTAGGCCAGCCACCCTATGAAAGCCAGTGTGATGTAACAGAGCTTCAAAGTAGGGTCTGCAAGACCCAGGTTCAGATCCCCATCTTGTGGTAGAAGCTGACTGGGTGATTTTGGACCAGTCACAGACTTTCAGCCTAACCAACCTCACAGGGTTGTTGTGTAGATAAAGAGGAGAGAATAATGGAAGCTGCTTTGGTCCCCGCTGTGGAGAAGGAGGCTGGAAAGCTAAAGGCAGATAAAGGTAGGTTGGCTGTTGGGTGGGAAGGAAATAGGTTGCCAACTCCAGGTTGGGAAATTCCTGGGCATTTGAGAGGTGGAGCCTGGGGAGGGTGGGAATTGAGGAGGGGAGAAACTTCAGACCGGTATAATGCCATAGACTCCACCCTCCAAAACAGCCATTTCCTCCACAAGAACTAACATTGCCAGCCTCCAGGTGAGGGCTGGAAATCACCCAGAATTACAACTGCTGTCCAGGTGACAGAGATCAGTTCCCCCGGAAAAAGTGGCTGTTTTGGAGGGTTGAGTCTATGGCATCATACCCTGCTGAGGCTGCTTCCCTCCCCAAGCCTCATTGTCCCACGGCTCCACCCCCAAATCTCCAGGAATTCCCCAACCTGGAACTGGCACCCCTAAGGTGAATTGATCCCTGTAGCTGGGAGATCCATTGTGATTCCCGGAGAGCTGCCATTGCTGCTATGGGAGGAAAGGAAGCAAGCAGGAGGCTGGGAGAGTGATGGGGGCAGGAGAGAGTGATGGGGTGGGGGGCAGAAAGAGAAAGAGTGATGAGGTGGGGAGGCAGAAGAACAAAGAACAAAGACAGGTCAGAAAGAAAGAGGAAGTCACATGTTTGGAGGAGAGATAGAAAGAAAAGGGGGGCAGAAAGGAGAAATAGTGTGAGAGAGGTAGGGGGAAAGGGGAGATAGCAAAGGTGTGAGGAATGGGATAACCATCCTGCAAGTTTCTTGCGGGTCTCCACTTGTTCAGTATGAATTGCGAACATTTAGGATGAGAAGAACTAACTCGCAAAAGCCAGAAGAGAACAGAGGGGACTGTGGAGTATCAAGAAAGCTCTGAGAAGAGATTTAGCGGCAGCATGCATGGAGGAGGGAATAAAAAGGGGCTGGCTGATAGCAGAGGAGATGGGAGGAAAGAAGAGGAAGAGAAAGCGGAGATAAAATAGCCGGCAGCATGGCCACAAGCAGCGGAGTCTAATCCTCCACTTATCATCACTGGCAGAGTAATAACAACTGGAAGTAAAAAATACCCTAAAATGCATATGTAAAAAAGTCACTAATCTCTGCTGCCCAGATGCTTGCTACCGTAAGAAGCCTGGCAAAGGTTCTGCTGGAATTAGTACGAGGCAGCTGATTGCTCACGAACAGACTTTGGCCACCTTTGCCCCTAAGCCAGGTTTTGAAGAGACGATGAGAGACTTTGACCTGGTCATACAGGCAGGCCTAATGGGAACGTAAGTGATTTGTCTAAAAGCGCAGGAGAGAACTCTCTGCACCAGACCGTGCAACTGCCCAACTCTCAATTTAGAAACATTTTTTTTTGCCAATAAGTCACAGCTGACTTATGGCAACCCCTTGGGGTTTTCAAGGCAGGAGACATTCGGAGATGGTTTGCCATTGTCTGCCCTTGTGTAGTAAACCTGGTATTCCGTGGTGGCCTCCCATCCAGAGAGTGACCAAGGCCAACCGTCCTTAGCTTCTGAGCTCTGATGAGATCAGGCTAGTCTGGGGTCTCCGGGTCAGGTGACAAACTAGAACCTCCCCCCCATTTTTATTATTTATTTTGATTTATATCCTGCCCTTCCTGCATCAAAGAGGACATAGCACGTAACTTACCCATGCCTTCAGTGAAGGCTTCGGACGCCAATACCTTCCCCCCCTCTTACATACTCACAGAGAAGGAGTATAGGATCTATACAATGCCATTGTGTTTATTTGCAGACGAGCATTTTAAAGGCACTCATGTTTAAAAAACTGAACTTTTATTTTTCCATGTTAAAAATTTACCAAACCTCTCTCTTTTCTGCTGGACTGGACACACAACAGCACAGCATTAACAAAATAACAAAAACAAAAAGCTAGTGCAGTCTTTAGAAAAGAAAGCTAGTTTCTATCAACTAGCAAAGAGGCCATGTCAACCTTTCACTCAACAGCACGTGAACCACTAAGCAGCCTATGACTCAGTGACACAGGACTTGTGAACAGCTTTTGGCATTCAAAGCAAGCACAGGAAGTGTTCTCCATGCCAGTTTCAAACGCCTGAAGCCAAGTCCCCACATTACGACTGTGTGGAAGATGCATGAGCTGTCTCATTATCAGGAGCAAACAAGCACATCTTCCAAGAGGAAAACATGTGGGCTCAGTTTGGACTTCCTAAGCATGAGGAAAGGAAACACAATTCACTCGTGCTTCCTTTCCCTTTGCCTGTTCAGGCTATCCAAAGCTACTGAATTACAGAAAGAATAAACGGATCTAAAACGCAGCTCTGACAATATCTCCCCCCCCCCCCCCCCCCATCATAATCAGGGCAAGTTTCAAACCTGGAGCCAGCAGAAAGTATTCCTTGGGGGTTTTTTATCCAACAACCTCAGCTAGCATGAAGCACAGGAATGCTGGGCATGAAACACTCAGGGCCATTCTATTTATTCTATGCACAAGTCCTTCAGCACAGCAGAGTTTCTAGATCTTCCTTGCAGGTTCCTAAAGTGGTTGGTTTTGTTTTTCCACTGCATCGCTATGCGAGGCACAGTTCCACATGGTCATTTCTCTGCAGCTACTCAGGAATTCATGACCTTCAGAATGCCTGCAGAATCAGCTTCCGCTTCACATCCCGGCTGAACCTGTTCATCTTGAACAGCTCACTGTCATAGAAGGCAGAAAGGTTGTGGATGTTGATCTGGCGAGCCTGGGAGGAAAGGGAAGAGACAGAAGGTAAAACCCCCAAGGCTGGTTTCTCTCGCTAGCACAAAATACAGGCAGAAACACTGGCTGGGCTACAGCAGGAACCGTACCGGCTTGGCATTTGCCTCTTCTCATGTTCTTACCATTACTGGATTCAACAACCATTAAGAGGCAGTCAAGTACACTTTTTAATTAAACAGGCACCTGTACAAACAAAGCCAGGGGGATGTACCTGGCTGAAGTTGGCCGTGGGGAGAATCAACAGTGCCGTCCTAATCAGAGTTACACCCTTGTAAATCCATTAAAGTCAATGGGCTTTTAAGGATGTAACTCTGCTTGGGATGGCATTGCAAATGTAGAATAGTTGCTTAATTAGTCCAGTCCTGGGGGAAAAAAGGGGGGGAGCATCCTACACACCCACTGCAGCTCTCTCACAGATGGGGTTGCCAGACCCCCTGGTGGAGGTAGGGGTCCCCCACCCAGGCCCGTAGTCGGGGGGCATTTCAGTTTCTTAGGGGGCACTGGCTAATCGAATTAAAGGTAATTTAATTAAAGTTAAATAGATTTTTCTGGGGGAAATAGGTGCTGTCGGGCTCTACGCTGTCACCGTAGCCAGCCCTTCACACCAAACAGCTGTGCAGGAATACCCAGCTCCTTCCCCACACTCGCCACTTTGGGGGCCCTGAGCTGGATGGGAAGTCATGAGGCCTTCCCAGTAAGTCAGGGGCCCTAGCCCCAAGATGCCCACTGTAGCTACGAGCCTACCCCACCACCCGTCAGCTGGCCAGCAGGGAGAATTTACCTTGAAAAGAGGGAGGCCCAGCCAACATGCAGCGATGTGTCTATGTGCCTGCCCACGTGAGCCAGAAGTGATGCCATCATGTCGGGGAGACACGCTGGTATTTGGACAAAACTCTATGGTAGAAGCCAAATTTATCATAGAGTTTTTGCCAGAATACCAGAATGTTACCCTGACATCATTTCCAGTTCATGTTGGCAGTGACACAGGCATGTCGCTGCACATCAGCTGGACCTCCCTCCTACTCCTGGAAAGTCCCCCCCCATCCCCACCGGTTGCCAGGAGGGACCTGGCAACCTTACCCACAGACTTAACAAAATCTGAAACAAAGACAGGAATAAGATATCGTATAGAAAAGATGTGTCTATAAGAGCTTCTAATTAAGTGCTGCTTAAAAATAAACAAAACTGCCTCGTTCTCTGGAGAGCACATGATTCTTCAAAAAGAAAAAAAAACAAATAAAACAAAGTCAGCTATCAGTGACTGAAAAGCTGCCATTGTTAGAATCCCCCCAAACCTTAATTTTTTAGCCACCGAGTTGATGGGGAAAAGTCTAACCTATTCCTAGAGATAGATCCAGGTTGTATGCTAATTTACTGTTCACCTATGTAGCGGCATCTGGCTCTGTATATGAACGGTTAACTTCCATTTCAATGTATTTGAGGAAGTGTGTGCATGCACACGAACGCTCATACCTTGACTAAAACTTTGTTGGTGCCCCTGGACTCTAACTTTGTTCTGTTCCTAGAGAGTTACTGCAAACTTCCCTCACCTGTTGTCCTGGAACACAACAGCTGAACTGGAAGACTTCTCATTTGAACAACCAGTGGCAGACAGAAGGATTCACTGTTACCCATATAGACTTAATGTTTCAAAGAGTGCCCCCTCTCATGGCTACCAAATGAATGCTGTATCCTTGTAGCTAGCGCTGTATCTTTCTTGTCTATGCATATTTAGCTCTCTTTCCACTAATACTTCAATTCTAGGCCTATGTACATAAAGACTGAGGGAAAAAAGCTAGGGCAAAGAACCCCTCGCCCACTTCTAGGAGCTCAAGTTTCCCTTTAGTACATGCCAACTAACACCAACATCCCCTCAGGTCAGAAGGGGAAACCTGGAAAGGCTTAGAATCCGTAAGGTTCAGACTCTTAACATGTAACACACAAATGAAAAAGGAGAAATCCTGTACCTTGTCAACCAGGTCTTTCTCTGGAACCTCAATGGTATCCTGCTGAGCCCCATAACGATTTCTCTGATACATCACCTGTTCTGAGACCAGCTGTTTCAAAATGAACAGCAATAGCTCATTGTTATCCTGCCTGAAGGCAAGGTACCGAGCAAAAGTCTGTGGGGAGAGTAGAAAGCAAAGTTGGGAGGCTCACCATCACCAGTGAAATTTAGAAAAGAAAAGATAAAGTACATTCTGACACCCCCTAAGTCAACTCAATCTCTGCTTCAAAGCTGAGGGAACAGCCATGTGCCACCAAGCCATTATTCATCTCCAGACCATCACAGATGAGCCCCTCTATGAAGAAGCAAAACTGGGCTTTCCCAAGATGGCTAGCACTGAGGAATTAAGAAAGAATGACAGCCCATCTGGAGGCTGGCATCCCATCTACTTTCTGAGGGAAGTCAACATTCACATAAATGCATGAACACAAGCTCAAGGACAACATCTGACGTTAGTGAATAAGATTGCTTAGTGTTCTGTTAAGAACTGGAAGGGCAATGGTTTCAGCGAGTTTAGCAGTCCTATGTAAAACAGATACGAATGGATAAAAACAAACACTGAAAGTATGATTTTAAACAGAAAAGGCCTGCCCCATCATTTGAACTCTGTGAAACAGATTTTCAGTTTATTCTATAATATCTTCTTCCCCACACTGAAACCATTCTGTCAGTCAGGAGTGCTCCAGATTACAATCCACTCCATCCTTCTGGAATATTCTGCTGCACCCACCAGCATGGCAGGACTCTTCAGTAAGACTCTTGGCCCTTTCCCCCCTCATCCACTTATGCTACCAAAAACAATGTTAAAATGGGCAGGGTCCTAACTGACAGAAAGAAAAAAACTTCCTTTTCAACCTCTGAGCAGGATCTCTTACTCCTGTCTCACAGGACTAAGCTATTTTTAGAGCTTTGCTGAAATATATAGAGGATTCCAAACACAATGTTTCAGAATACTTTAAATGTCTTCATCCCACCCAACTCAGCCATTCAGTATGGATTATATGCATGTATAATGTACAAAGAGATGGACCCTTAGTTAGGACACCTGAACATTTAGGGTCAGGCCTTGGCTCCCAGTCTTCCGAGATGAAAGTTCTGGTAATGATGGGCACTGGGCTGTATCCCTATGTAAAGTTTCCATGGTCTCCCTCTTCCTGCAGCCCAAAACACCGTCCAAGTGCTGCTCCTGAGGGATGGGAGACTCTCAAGAACAGCAGGGAGGGGAATGGAGATCTAGTACAGAAGGGGGGAAATCAGGAAAAATGGACCCCTCGTTGTGCACATGGGAATTTTGTTCTGTTCCCACATGTTTTGAAAGGGGCCCAAATCGAGGCAACTAACAGAAAACCACTCCCACATACCTTCCGCATACTCCTCATAACGCTGAACTTCTGTGTGTCAATGAAACTCTCCAGCATGACTCGGATGGCCATGTTGACATCGTCCTCCATCACGTAATCCCGCAGGTGCATGCGGGCATGGGCCTCGGCCATTCGGATCATGGATTCAATGTGGCGCACTGTGATGGGGATACTTCCGGTCGCCTAAAGAAAGAGCGGGATGATCCCAAAGCACAGAGTTTTCCTCCCTATGTTGCATTTGCTGCTTTTTAGGCTTACACTTCCAAAAGTAGTGTGTAAAAAACCTAATAAAACTAGCAGCAGCAAGATACATAGTCCACAGGAGACTGGAGAACGTTTAAGAATCGAACTATGCCAAGAACTAGGGAGAGAGCGCCATCTGCTGGCAGACAGCAAGCAATGCCAAGAAGGCAATCGATTCTCAGGCCTGCCGGCTCAATTGGTAAATGAACTCTTTAAATAAGCTCCAGGCTGATATGGAGGCAACAGCTCTATTTGTTCCACTTATGAGGCAAGAGTGGTATAGCTCAGTGGTACGGTATATGCTTGGCATGTATAAAAGATCCTCAGTTGAGTTCCTGGCATCTCTAGTTAATTCAGGTACTGCAAGACCTACAAAGACCCCTGACCCCCCCCCCCACTGCCTCAAATCCTACTCCCCGCAGTAGTCGCTTTACCATTGATTCTTTCCGGAGTTCACTGTACATTCTGGCCACTTTGTCCTGGTCCATCTGGTTGAGTTTGGGATGGACTTTCTCCTTGGCATAGATTATGTATTTCTTCAGGACCTCCTGAGGTATGGGTTCCACGCCGTAAGTATTAGGAAGAATAATCTCTTGAGAGTCTCCACTCACAACATCCTTGTTGCTGGGGTGATGCTTGATGTGACTGCCAACCACAAACCGAGCCAGCATCTCATCCTGCAACGGGATTCAGGAAAGAGAACAGCTGCTGAAGTTACAGAACTGAGGTACGTCAAAGATGGGCGAGTGGGCGTCAACATGGCAAATGGGGTTCAATGTGGCCAAGTGCAAGGTGATGCACATTGGAGCCAAAAATCCTAAATATAAATACACGTTGATGGGGTCTGAACTGGCAGAGACTGAGCAAGAGAGAGATCTTGGAGTTGTAGTGGATAACTCACTGAAAATGTCGAGACAGTGTGTGACTGCAATAAAGAAGGCCAATGCTATGCTGGGGATTATTAGGAAGGGTATTGAAAACAGATCAGCCAATATAATAATGCCCCTATATAAATCAATGGTGAGACCTCATTTGGAATACTGTGTGCAATTCTGGTCACCACACCTTAAAAAGGATATTATAGCTTTGGAAAAAGTGCAGAAAAGGGCAACTCAAAAGATAAAAGGGTTGGAACACTTTCCCTATGAGGAAAGGTTAAAGCGCTTAGGGCTCTTTAGCTTGGAGAAAAGACGACTGAGGGGTGACATGATCGAGGTTTATAAGATTATGCATGGGAAAGAGCAGGTAAAGAAAGAGGTACTTTTCTCCCTTTCTCACAATACAAGAACCCGTGGGCACTCCATGAAATTGCTGAGCGGTCGGGTTAGAACGGATAAAAGGAAGTACTTCTTCACCCAAAGAGTGATTAACACATGGAATTCACTGCCACAGGAAGTGGTGGCGGCTACAAGCATGGACAGCTTCAAAAGGGAATTAGATAAGCATATGGGGAGAGAGAAACACCAGGCTGAAAATCTATGAACATCTTAGCAGGAGTTATTCCCAAGTGCAATTGGGCGGGGGAGGGAGAGAAGGAGAGGAAGAGGAGGAGCCACAAGGTATGGATAGGAAGTCTCAGTCCAGGGCAAGTGATGTTCTGTATTCTTGGTGCCTGGGGGGGGGGAGCAACAGTGGGAGGACTTCTAGTGTCTTGGCCCCACTGCTGGACCTCTTGATGGCACCTGGTATTTTTGGCCACTGTGTGTGACAGAGTGTTAGACCAGATGGGCCATTGGCCTGATCCAACATTGGCTTCTCTTATGTAGGATATTGGATTTATAACCCGCCCTTCACTACCTGAAGGAGTCTCAGAGCGGCTTACAATCTCCTTTCCCTTCCCCTCCCCACAACAGACACCCTGTGAGGTAGGTGGGGCTGAGAGAGTTCTCCTGAGAACTGCTCTTGAGAGAACAGCTCTGAAAGAACTTGTGACTGACCCACGGTCACGCCAGCAGCTGCATGTGGAGTAGTGAGGAATCAAACCCGGTTCTCCCAGATTAGAGCACGCTCCTAAGCACTACACCAAACTGGCTCTACAGCAGCACACATGACTAGATAGCTCTCAGATGACAATACCAGCCATGTTTTATTGACTGTTTTTAGATGTACTGTATCAATCTTTACTGGTTTTTAATTGTTGTAAGCCGCCCTGAGTCGCTTTGGCGGGAGGGCGGGATAAAAATCTAATAAATAAATAAATAAATGTCAGGGTGCAGTCTCCATGTATCACTTACAATTTGACCCTGCCTTTCCTCCACGTATCTCAGTGTGGCAAACAGGATCCCCCTCTTTAGTTTATACTCACAACAACCTTGCAAGGCAGTTTATGCCGAGAGTGTGTGACCAGCCCAACATTACACAGGGAAGGTCACCTCTTGAGTGGACCTCGTAACCCAGGCCTGACCAGCCCGACCCCTGCATGGCCACACTGCCTGCATGGCCACACCGCCAAACTCCCCCTCCCTGCCTTTCTTGTCCTGTGCTGTGCAAGAGGGAAGCTCATGAATAAACTTACATCTCGGTCAGGTCAGAAACCTCTGGCCAAGTCACATACCTGAACAGGATCCACGGTGTCCCTGACGACGCACAGGATATCAAATCGAGAGATGATGGGCTCCGTCAGATCAACGTTTTCTGAGAAAGTCAAGGAGGGATCATAGCGGCCACCTAAAGTGAGAAGGAAAAACTCGTTTCAAAACAGCTGCTGAATGCAGGCTTCCCAATACTGCACGCAGCTTCCCTTCTGCATTAGCCCTGGTTCTTCTTTCTTTATTACAGGCAAAGGAGGAATTCCCCCAGACCTGCTAACAGGGAGCAGAGAAAAGCAACAGTGTGACTGTTCCTATTAAGCGCAAAGGAGCAAATGCTTTTTACTGTCATGATCCACCAGTACATACCTATGGGGTTGGCAGCGGCCATAACAGTGCAGCGCGCTTGCAAAGATGTGACGATGCCCGCCTTTGAGATGGAGATGCTCTGCTGCTCCATGGCTTCGTGGATGCTGGTTCTGTCCTGATCATTCATCTGAGGGATCACAAAGGCATTCAGGCACCTCCTGGCTGAGGGAGGGCTCACACACCTGATTATGCAGAGGCTAAGGGTGGTGTGCGTTTCAAAGGACCTTCCCTTAACACGGCTACTGCTCTGCCAAAGAGACACCAGCAGAAGTTCCCACACTAATGTGCCTGGCTATGGGTTTGTTTCGGGATCTTCAAGGACAGAAAGCAGCAAACTGACTTCTTTGGACACTACAGTTAGTGCTGGCTAGCGTTATTGATCCACCCATGCTCGGCACAGCTGTTTCCACGTCCAAAGCTGCACCCTACTTTATGGCAGTTTCCCAGGCAGGTTAACCCTTAAGGTACAAAGGCCGCCATCGCTCACTCTTTCCTTTACCTCTCAGCTGTCAAGTTCAGAACGATCGCAGTAGAGCAATCTGGGCTCTGCTATTATTCAGCTCTGTTGTGTGCCCCAATCCAAACTCACCTTGTCAAACTCATCTATTAAGCAAATCCCTCTGTCTGCCAGCACCAGGGCGCCTGCCTCCAGGGTCCACTCCTTGCTCACCGGGTGCCTCTGAACATAAGCGGTCAGACCAACAGCAGAAGCACCCTGGCCGGTGGTAAAGATCGCTCTGCTGGACACTTTTTCAACATATTTCAGGAACTGAGACTTGGCTGTTCCGGGATCCCCACAAAGCAAAACGTTGATGTCACCACGGACTTTATGCTTTCCACCTGAAGCAGATTGGACAAAAAAATTATTTGGGGGGGGGGGGAGCAAACTTTAAATGCTGGTGCTGCCCTCAAGTGGAAAAATAAGGTACTGAATACATTATTAGTTCATGTGAGCGATAAACTGAATGCAGAATTTTATACTATTGATGTCTGTCTTCCCACTGTTCCCAAAGTCCATTATCTTTTCTCTTCAGGCTGAAGAGTCCAGCATCATACCGAAAGATCCTACAACACCAACTGAGAGATGCAGCTGGGTGTACTGAGGGAAAAGAGAATGAATCACTTATAAGTGTCATGCTATGCGGATTTCTATATTTACTGAAGTCTACAGACTTAGAAGGGTGTAACTCTGTTTAGGATGGCACTGTAAGTGGCCAGCTGGTTTCTTAATGCAAAATCTGGGGATTTAAGGACAGCTTCATATGTTTCAATGTGGTGGGGAGAGAAGACCCGGTTGTCTGTCTCTTGTGTGACATCCAGACAACTCCCCCTCCCTGAAGTGAGAGACATGGAACTGTACAAAAATGAAGGCTGCAGGTACCTGATCTTTGCAAGCGACTGTGGCTCAAGCATTCTCTGCAATGCAATATTTATTTTATTTATTTATTTGCATTTTTACCCCGCCCTCCCCACGAACGGGCTCAGGGCGGCTTATACAGGGGCAAAAGCCCATACATAAAACATTATAAAACAGTAAAAACTATTACATCACAGCAAAACAGATAAAGTGCTCCATACAAACAAGACGGTCTCTGAGGATGGTATATAACCTCAGCACTGCGTCACTGTAAGCAACTCAGGGGATCCATGTAATACCAGTGCTGACTCGCAGCGTCTTTTGAGAACTAGTACTTTCACTCACCTGGGTTTTTAGGTTCTCCTCCAAACAGGGCTAGGGCCAGGCCCCTTTTGATGTCTTCATGTCCATAAATGGAAGGAGCAATGCTAGCAAAGATCTGGAAGTAAAACCAGCAGGTAGGTCACCCATGATGCAGAATGGCTAGCACGGTACACTTTACATGCAAGATAGGCAAACTGCAATGGAAAGCTGCTTGCCACCCTTAAAAGATGCAAGTCTGTTTGCTCCACCTGCAAGGGGAGACTGTGGCCGAGAGCACACATATGTGCTAGGGGGAAAAAGCAGGTCTGGTAACATCACACTGTGCCAACCTCAGTGTGTGCAAAGCTAAAGGTAAGATACCATAACACAGCCTCAGAAGCAGTCCTTCCCTGGGGAGCCCCCCCAGATCCTCCCTCCAAACCACCCAGAATCAAGTTCTTACTTACAAGAACCAAATATATCCCCGCAGGCAAGGCAGGATATAAATCAAAATAAATAAATAAATAACACGCCCAGCTTCTGATCAACACCAAGAGTCCCCCCTTAACGGCTTAGAGACTATATAGGAACCGGGTGGCCAACGCCACGGAAAACAATTTATTTGCTCCCACAATGTGTCTCGTATACCAATGATAGTGGGATCACATGGATGTGCCTGGCTCAAGGAGCAGGCTCTTTAAACAAGTATGCTACCTTTGGAAGAGGTGACGGATAAAAATGCGACACACATCTTAAAGCACACTTGCTTTGATTTTATAAAATGTTTTTTTGACAGCAGAAGCTGCTACTCCCAGTTGGGGTACCAAGATCAGGAAGAAACTCTCTTTCTCTTCCGTTCTGGACACGCGACTCCTTGCCCTAGTTTCAGACAGTCAGCCCGGTGGCAGAACTTTGGAACCACACTCACTTTCTCTCCGATCTGCTCATCCTTGGAGAGGCCTACGATGACCTTCATGTCCTCATCCGTGAGCTCCCCAACTGCTACCTTGTCATCCTTCTTTGCAATGTGATTGGCCAGAATCACTGTGGCAAACACTGGAAATCCATTGGCTGTATTCAAGGAACCGTCATAATTGTTATTGTAGATTCCAGTAAGCTCCTGGAAGGCAGAGGAAAAGGGACATTGCAAAGTTACAGTTAACTAGGGAAATTCCCAGTCATTTAGAGAACTGCAGAAACCATCAGCACACAACACTACAGGAACATGAATCGAAGTGGATTCCATTATGCCATGTACGTGACAGAGCTGTTCAGGGAACAAGTTGCCAACAAGTTGTTTATGGTAGTTACAGTAAGGCCTATTTATTAAATGGGGTTTATAAGATTAATTTGTCAAGAGGGACTCTTAATCTACGAACTGTGTGAATGCCATTGCTTTCTGTAACAGTCTTAAAGACTCATTTTTTGATAATGGTTGCAGAATGCAACATCTGCAAAACTAGCATACAACAACCCTGAACAACTAGCTCCTAGAACTAACCTTTGCATGAACAGCAAAAATTCCCGTAAAATACTTCATTCTCATCCATTACATTGCTATGGAGTTTATCCTCCAAGCAATAAACTTCAGCTCACTGAAGATATACAGCATGCTAGGAGCCTGCCTTCATTTACATGGAGCCTATAAACTGATGCCTGGTCAGTAGCCAGCAATTCCTAGTCTGAGGGTGATCTTCCATGCAGAAAAAAAAAATGGATGTGCAAGCTGACTACAGCTTTTAATTTCAGCTACATAGGCGAAACCCCCCCCCACACACAAAAACAACAGACTCCTGAATCTCAGCCTAAGAAACTTGAGAAAGATGTACACCTCTTTCAGAAGCTACGTTCCTTTCCATAATGACCCCTTTCTTAAATGCTATGAATGGGATCAACGTTTTGTTCGTGATCTTTCCTGCCTTTCTGTCTTCAGGACACAATACTTACGATCTCATCTCCTGGCTTGCAGCTGTCCACCAGGTCAGCAAGCAAAATGGCATCCTTGGAGCGAGGAAGCCGGCCAGCTGCCACTTTCCCAGGGCTTTCCTGGATTTTAATGCGCTGGTAGTTCTGGTAGACGGTCTGGCAGGAGAAACCAGTAGGCATTATTAGGCCATTCAAAGTCATACTGGAGCCTGCACTGATGATTGGCACAGAATTACAAAAGGAGACTGGAGATTTGGGGGTGGAGCCATGGGACAGTGAGGCTTGGGGAGGGAAGCAGCCTCAGCAGGTTATAATGCCATAGACTCAACCCTCCAAAGAAGCCACTTTTATCCAGGGGAACTGATCTTTGTCACCTGGACAGCAGTTGTAATTCTGGGTAATCTCCAGCCCTCACCTGGAGTCTGGCAATGGTAATTCTCATGGAGGAAATGGCTGTTTTGGGGGTGGAGTCGATGGCATTATAACGGTCTGAAGTTCCTCCCCTCCTCAAATCCCACCCTCCCTAAGTTCTACCTCTCAAATGTCCAGGAATTTCCCAACCTGGATTTGGCAACCTATTTCCTTCCCACCCAACAGCCAACCTACCTTTATCTGTCTTCAGCTTTCCAGCTCCAGACCCCCCCCCCAACCTCCTCCTCCACAGTGGGGACCAAAGCAGCTTCCATCATTCTCTCCTCCTTTTTATCTACACAACAACCCTGTGAGCTTGGTTAGGCTGAAAGTGTGTAACTGGTCCACAATCACCCAGTCAGCTTCCACCGCAAGATGGGGATCTGAACCTGGGTCTTGCAGACCCTACTTTGAAGCTTTAACTGATGCACCACATGGGCTTTCATAGGGTGGCTGCTGTTGAATAGTAGCAAGCAGTCAGGCCTGGTTGAGTCATGCAAATCAGGGTGCTGCCTAGGAATGCCAGCCTCCAGGTGGGACCTGGGGATCCCCTGGAATTACTGCTCATCTCCAGACTACAGAGATCACTTCCCATGGAGAAAATGGATGCTTTGGAGGGTGGACTCTGTGGCACTGTACCTCACTGAGGTCCCTGTCCTCACCAGCGTCCACCCCCAAATCTCCAGGAATTTCCTAGCCTGGATCTGGCAGCCTTACCCCCCCCAATCCACCACCAATGGCCAGGGGGGACCTGGCAATCCTAGCTGCCAAGCCTAGGGTTGCCAACCTCCAAGTGGGACCTGGAGACTGCCAGAATTACAACCGAACTCTAGATAGTGTCAGCGAGCTGCCATTTCCTTGGGATAGGTCTCGTCCCTTTCTCATCCCCGCCCCTCCCTCACTCCTGTAGTTGTTATTCTTTTCATGTTGGGCATCTGTAACTGCCAAGGTTCTCCAGCTGGTGTGATGGGGTATTGTGTCTTTACGCTCTGGCTTGTTTAGGTTTCCCGTGTGAACTCAACTTGTGTTTATGGAACTGGCCGTTGCTGTTCTCAGGCTGCTTCGCGCCTTTTCTAATCTGTACCCTAACGAGGGAAATGAGTTCATTGGTTTAAACCTTGTTTGAAGTTCCTTTAATACACCTTCCCTGGGTATTGTAGTTATTCCTAACAATCTCTGTATGTTCATGATCAACCATGCTTTGGAAATAAATCTTGCTTCTTTTTGAACGTGGATCTATTCTCCTGATTTGGGATCTAACATTTTGTTAGGAAACCTACCTTTCCCCCTCACCCCGAGTCTGACGCCTGTCATGAGCGGGGCCGAAGGGAAACCTCCAATTTCGGCGGGGGACCGAGGAGCCATCCCAGTCACCGCCTCGACATCGGGCTCGATGCCGACCGATGGTGCCGTCGGGGGAACGATCCCGCGGCACGAGACTCTTCCCTGGCCACCTCCTACCCCGTCGCAATGGGGGAAACGGGAGATGAGAGCCTCGGAGGATTGGACTAGGTTTGATACTCAGGGCACGAAAGCGACGTTTGCTCATCGTGGGAGTGGACTCCGGGAAAGTCTTTTTGAATCAGGATTGTATCCCGAAAGACCCCGGAGTTGCCCGGCAGAAAATTATCGGATCGAGGATGACTTCTGGCCGGACGAACGACCGAGTGGACGAGACCGGGATACGAGATCGGGAAGGGGGGAGACCCGAGACGATCGATTGGAAGACCTCGAACGTTCCGTGCAGGACTTAATGAGAACGGTAACTGAGGTTTTCAATGCAATACCGCAGATGATGGACGATCGCATAGCAGATCGAGCGGCAAGATTGTTTCCGGGA